CTCAGGGATATTGGCCTATAATTTTCTTTTCTTGTGGTGTCCTTGTCTGGATTTGTTATCAGTGTAATGCTGGCCTTATAAAAGAGTTTGAAAGTGTTGCCTCCTCTTCCGTCATTAGCTCTGTATTTTGTCTGTTTTGTTTATTTTGTATCGTAAGCACCTAGAACAGTGCCTACTACATACTACATGCTCCATAAATGTTTGTTGAATGGTTGTAGAAATACTGTGAATTGTTGGGAAGAAAATGTTAATAATATATGATTGGGTATTGAAACTGAGTGTGATTTTATTTCTATTCTACCATGTTTTCTACATTTTCGTCACTTTTAAAATGAATATATATACCTATTAAAAGAGAACAGAGACAGTGTGTTCTATTTTAGGAAGTTTGTATGGCAGTGACAATCCATTAGCATATGTAAGAATTATTAATTCATTTAATATTACATTAAGTGCCTATAGCCATAATTTCTAGTCTTAGTTTTTTCAGCATTTGAAGAGGTCTCTCCCAATACCTCAGAGTGCTGTGAATTCTTATCCAGTTAATACAGTAAGTGCCTATAGTCATGATTTCTGGTTTTGGTTTTGTAGCACCTGAAGGCTTCTCTCCACATGTCTAAATGAGAGTTGTAAAATTATTGAAACTTTCCATTTTAATTCACTTAAATTTCTGTATCTCTACATGAGACCCCATTATTTTGGGAACCAGAAAAAAAATCACTATGGAGGACCATACGCAGCAGGTTGGTAAACACCAATTAGTCACTGACTACAGAATTTTATTTTTTCCAACACTCTTCATATTCTTTGGTGAATTTTGTTTTTGCTCTCAGTTTTTCCTACCTAACGATTTACTTTAAAAAGCAATGGTAGTTACTATTTATTGAACCCTTAATATGCGTGGCATTTGCTAAGTGCTTGTTGTGTGTATTATCTCTTTTAACTGTTTCAGACAACCCTACGAGGTCAGTACAGTTATATTTCCTATTTACAGATGAGGAAACAGGCTTAGAGGGATCTGATGCGTTTACCTCCTATGTGGTGTGAGATCAGGTAAACAATTGTGGTCTCCAAATAGAGGATGTAGGTCCTAGAAATGCCACAGTGGGGCACCAAAAGCAAATTAACCACATATTTTAAAGATCCTGGTGAAACCGAAGTTATTTCCACAGCTCTAATGGGCCAAGGTTAGTCATTCTTGAGCTGGTAATTCAAACTGCCTATAAGGAAGAGAGGCTGCCACTATGGTTAAACATTAAGGTAGGCTTCTCTTTCAGAGCTGCCTGCTTCTGTTTTATTCCATGTTTAGGACATGGTGCTGTCATCCACCCAATTTACAAACAGAGTCAGTCTCGGAGTGAGTCACTCACATGTGACTGGTTTGGGAAGACATGTTGAATGGGCTATAGTGTTGTTTGGAGTGGCTCACTTTTTTTTCTCATGTCCATTCTACCCAGTATGCAGTCCTGCTGTGTTATAGTTGATTGTAGTGGTAATTCTAACTCCCTAAAAAGTTAAGGGGTCTGAAGAGATTTTACCTGTAAAGCCTCTACCCTGGGAGCACAAAAATGCCCCTCAATGCTGTAATGTATGGAAGCATTGAATTGGGAGTCGGAAGACTTGCATTCTAGACCTAGTGTTGCCACACATTTACTTCTCCTGTGACCTTAGGGAAGGCAGTTTCTCCAGGCTCTAGTTTCCTCAACTGTAAAATGAGGTTAAACTAGATCTCTGAGGCCCATCACAGCTCTAACATTCACTGGTTTCACACTTCTGAGACTAAAGCATAAAGCAGCAGCTCCTGATACCTCTCAGTTGGGTAGGGTTCACCCTCTTTTGAACCTTTAAATATCTGCCTCCCTGGCTTCATCATCAGAAGGGATGATTTCAAAGGCTTTTTTTTTTTTTTTAAATTTTAGGATTCCATAAAGGATCTCATAATTGAAGTTCTTCAAATTGTTTTCAAAGGGAGCATATTTCTTTTACCAGTATATAAGCTGTAGAGCACCCCTAGAAGAATGTATGTCTTATGAAATCAGGTAGAGAGTGGAGTATTCCAACTCCAAAAAGACCGAGAATAACAGAATCACGCAGGGAAGTTAGTGAAAGGATCCAGATTCAGTGGGCTACCTCTTTTCCCCCTACTTTTATTTATGTAGCCACTTTCTTTGAATACTTCTAGAATTTGCCTCTTAAGAATACAGATTTTCATATTCTTTAACAAAGGAAGAATAAAGGAGGAGACATCATGAAAAATCCGAGTTAGGAAGGGAATGCACTTCTGTGTAGAATACTTCATACTGTCAGAAGTGAGTGTGCTTGAGTTTGGAGATGTGCCTATTTAGAGGAGTGATGACACTCAGCACTTTTGTGACAGCTTATTACAAAATAATATGATACCTCTCCATGGAAGTAGCCATTCTTGATTGCAGATACTATTTCACTGCTGGTAGCTGAAAACACAGCCCACTCAGGGATCATAACAGCTGCTGTGGTGCTTATTTCTATTATATCATGGATGGTCAAGATGCAGACCATTTGCCATAGCTGACCTTCCTTCCATTTTTTTTTTTTAAAAACCACAAACCCTGTGTTTTGTGAGCGGTGTGGTTTGAGCAATATGTGCCTTGTGTGTGTTAAGGGAATGTCACATGACAACAAACGAGGCATAGTAGTAAAGGGTGCGTTGTTATTTGCTCTTGCAGGCAGTAGCAACATCTAAGGAACCCCCCTACCAGGTTTAAAGTTCTAGAAGCTATGGAACTTGTAAAAGAAAAAGTAAGTTTCCCTGTTCTGGAGGAGCTTGATCTCAAGTTGAGAATATAGAATGTGCATATCCAAAATGATTTCTGATCACTTAAAAAGTAGCAGACAACTGACATGCTAGATAGTGTTGTGATTAACAAAATTAAATCCATATAAAGCATTACAGTGGTATTACATCTTCTATGGGATTGGGTTAGAAAGTTGAGGCTTAAGATGAAAATCAGGGTAAATAAAATTACCCAAGAAAATCTTCAGGCAGCATATAGAGTACCCATGTGCCATCCCTCCAGCAACCCAACTCAGCTATTTTCTTTGGCATTGGAAAAGATTGCTCTTTCTTCAGTTAATGGAAGTGCTGGCTTGTATTTAGGAGTCATATTGAATGAAAAATACATACCTTTAAAAGACTGTGTTCCCATACATGCTACAACATAGGTGAATCTTGAAGATACCATGCTAGGTCAAATAAGTCAGACACAAAAGGACAAATATTGTATGATTCCTCTTATATGAGGTACCTGGAGTAGTCAAATTCATAGACATAGAAAGTAGAATGGTGGTTACCAGAGTCTGGAGGAAAGGGAAATGGGGAGTTAGTGTTTAATGGGTACAGAGTTTCAGTTTGGGATGATGAAAAGGTTCTGGAGATGGATAGTGGCGATGGTTGCACAACAGTGTGAATGTACTTAATGCCACTTAACTGTATATTTAAAAATGGTCAGAATGGTAAATTTTATATTTTACTACAATTAAAAAAAAAAAAAGACTTTATCTCCAAATTGTGAAGGTAATTCCAAAAGATGAGTTCAAAAAACATTGTAAGTGGGGCCGGCCCTGTGGCGTAGCAGGTAAGTGCACACGCTCTGCTGCTGGCGGCCCGCGTTCAGATCCTGGGCGCACAACGACGCACCCCTTGTCAGGCCATGCTGTGGCGGAGTCTCATATAAAGTGGAGGAGGATGGGCACGGATGTTAGCCCAGGGCCAGTCTTCCTCAGCAAAAAAAGGAGGGATTGGCATGGATGTTAGCTCAGGGCTGATCATCCTCACACACAAAAAAATTGTAAGCAATGGTAACTTTGTGGTAATAAGTAGTTTATGTGTAGATTTCTGGAGAGAACTTTCATTTCGACATATAGATTTTAAAAAATCAAGCTCCTCATAGATAGGGCTAATTTTTGCTTGTTAGATATAAAGGGATGACCTACCTCCTCATTTTATAGCCAAGGAAGGAGGTCAGGAGCCAAAGAGATGAAGAGAATTATCCAAGCTTACACTTGAGTCAAGCCCAAAGCTAGGACCTGAACCTCACCCCCTTTACTCACCAGCAGCTCCTCCTATACAAGTGTTTACTGGGTGACAGCATGCCAGTACTCCCTTTATTTTTGCCGTGTCCAAGTACATTTTTACTTTTACTTAATCATTTTCTTTACATCAACTTATTTCATGTAAGATACATTTATTTAATACAAAAGTTATTTTTAAAAGGCAATTTTATATCACTACTTTAAATGGAAAATCTGTAGAACCTATACTAAATGATCAGAAAGAATACAGTGAAGGGAAACACTGCTGTTTTAGTTAGATGTTATTGCTTTGAAGCTGAAGCCTGTTCTATTTTTTGTTAAAAGGGGAGACTGGTAATTTTTAGGTATTAAAGACATACTAGCACCAAAATGACATGATGTGAAGGATTGAAAGAGAATTCAAAGGGGAATGACTTTCTCACTGTATGAGTCAGTAGTGTTTACATCATTTCCCATACCACCTATGGCCAAGAAACATGTACCATACCATGCAGCCTCCCAGCAAACAGAGTAGGTGGGCTTTGAATTTGTTTTTCAGAAAAGCAGTGGATAAGGGTTAATATAGAGAAGTGATTCACAGAGGAGAGTGAAAGTGGGCACAGGGATTTCGAGAACCAGGATTGTTAAACATTCTTATTGATGAACGTGTGCTTGGTCCCTCTGTTAGATGGGAGAAGAAAGGTTGACAGTGATTAACTTAGATCTGTAGTGTTTCTGGATATTCTTATTCCCTGAGCACAAACGCCAATACCCTCCCTCTCGTCATTGTGATAACAAGTTCCCATACATTTCTAATGCCTTTTAGGGGTGATTAAGTACTACTACCCCCACCAGGGAAGGAGTGGGGAGTTTATTCTAAGCAGAAGGAATGGCCTCTACAAATGTATGGAAGCAGGACTGAGCATTTGAAACTTGTCCATCTTTTCCAGAAGAGAAGAAGAAGTTGATCAGAGATTTTGATGAAAAGCAACAGGAAGCAAATGAAACGGTGAGAACAGGGAGCAAATCCTTATTTCTTCTTCTACCTAGTGTTGGTCTTTTCCAGAAGTAAAGCTTATGACCTGATCACAGATTAACTGTTGATCTATTGATTTTGATTTTGATTATCTCTTACTAAATGAGGCCAATTGATGAGGATGCATGTTGAGGGGGTTTTACAAACACAAATGGGTAAAGCTTGAAGACTCTCCTGAAATGAGTCTTTGATAATACATTCCTGATGTGAGGACCTGAGTGGTCTTTTAAAATCTCATTTTAAACTGGCCATTAAGATCAGTTATTCTTCTTTGTTAAACTTACTGTCACAGAAAATGTAGCTCAGAGGTCGTTCTAGCTGCATTCCCCTCTGTTTTAAAAGACAGCATAATGGCTGGATTTGGTACCTTGAGCAAAGCATGCATGAACAGGACGAGTTCCCAGTCAGGACCCAAAGCTTGTCAGAAGTTAGTCCAGGTTGCTGAGCAACTTAACAACTGCTTCTCTTTTGATTTGTGGCTTTTCTTTAAATAAAGAAAAAAAAGTTGTTCTGTCTCCATAACATTATGCTCTAGCTTCAGCAAACCCTTTCAGGAGATTGGGGCTAAAATCCAGGTCCCTGGTAGTACCCTGTAGAAATAGTTTCCCCTAGTTTTTGCTACCCCAGAGTAGACTGAGAAGAAAAATTCTTTTTAAGCCAGAGAACTTTCTTCTTGCAGGTTGAAGAACAACTTTCCTACCCCAGTGAAGTTTTGAGAAGTTAAGCTTATCTGCATCCTTTTCTCTGTTCTACATCTGTTTTAAGAAGGATCAGGCCACTAGACTGTGGAAGCTATCTCCTTCATAATGGGAGTACTAGAAACTTTTCTTAATACCTGTGTACAGCTGGGCATATCCATGATACCTGTTAGGGAGCCAGTGTTCTTTTTCAGTTAACATCTTAGTAGTATTTTAAAAATCTTTTAGCTAATATCAGTTTCTTTGTTTGGTGCTTAGATACTTTCTTTCTCTGAATTTAGCAAAATTAACCAATCCTACTCTGGCCATCCCAGGCAGATGAAAATAATTTATGGCCTCTTGTGAACATGTCAGGTGTTACATTTTACTTATCCCAGAAAAATGGAAATCTGATTTGGACCCCTGGTTATCTCTGACATGGAGACAAGCAATTGATTTTCAGAAAGAGGAGGAGCAAGGGAGGAAGCTTGATGCCAAACCCCTATCATGTGTAGTACGGTAGAACCTCCAAGTGCTTCATGACAGCACTTGAACCATAACGGTAAAGAACTTGGTATACTGAAAAGAGAACTGGAAGATTTTGAATTCAAGTCTTATGTATGAAACAGAAGTAGTATTGCTTATCTTATTGATTTGTTGTGAGGATTAAATGAGGGAATGCATGTAAAAATATTTCCTAAACTATAAGGTGCTTGTTTGTTTTTTCCCCTCATTCATCGTGTGTGTGTGTGTGTGTGTGTGTGTGTGTGTGTGTTTGTGTGTGTGGAAGATTAACCCTGAGCTATATGAACCCCGGGCCGTGTGTGTGTGTGTGTGTGTGTTTGTGTGGAAGATTAACCCTGAGCTATATGAACCCCGGGCCTCCAAAGCAGAGCACGCAAACTTAACCACTATGCAACCAGGCCGGCCCCCCATCATATATTTTTTGAATGCCTGTTCTGTGCTTGCTCGGCACTGTGCCAAGCATTCAGCGTAATGAGGCAAACATGTCACGTGTGGTCCCTGCCCTCGGGGAGCATATGGTTGAGTACTTATTTGGGGTTGTCTGTGGTTTGAGTATTCCAAACTAGGCATATGCCCAGATGAGAGAGAAAAGAACCAAGTCATCTACTCACTACTTTCTGCCTTCCTAGCTGGCAGAGATGGAAGAGGAACTACGTTATGCGCCCCTATCTTTCCGGAACCCTATGATGTCTAAGCTTCGAACCTACCGAAAGGACCTTGCCAAACTCCACCGGGAAGTGAGAAGCACACCTTTGACAGCCACACCTGGGGGCCGAGGAGACATGAAATATGGCACATATGCTGTAGAGAATGAGCACATGGTAAGCTACAGCTGTTTTTTTGCCCCTTAAGAGGCTATGTTACAAGAACTAACCATATCGTGGAGTACAGTTCATCTTATCAGTGCATACTAGATTCTTGTTTTCCCCACCTTATCCTCTTTCCTGCAGCCAGTTCCTTCCTCCCTTGGGTACCCACCTCTACTGTATTTAATGCAGGTATTTCCAAAGCATATGCTTATTTAGATTTCTTTGTATCTCTTACATAGAAAACAGTGCTTGGTCTGTAGTGGTGGTATACAAGTGTTACCTATTCTTATTGTATCTCGACTCTGTATTCTGACCTGTTGATCCAATTTCTTTCTCATGTATGCCCAAAAAATTCAGTTACATTTTTAATTTATCAGAGTATTGTTATAAAATTAACCAGGCTTTCCTTTACATTTATATCAGGATGGCCCAACAGCCTACATACAGTAGAGAAGGCAGCATGCTTCTCAAGAAGGGGCTAATACCTTACTCTGTTGTAATGGAAAGTGAGTCAGACTGCTTCTCTAGCCTCTAGTATTCTGATTTATAAAATTATACTAAATTGAAAAATCTATATTTTGAAACTATCTAGAGAAGCTAGATAGTTAAAGGAATAAAAACTTCACAGAGATTAAATTTATCATGTTGCATTATTATGTTCCACAGTACAAAACAGAAATAGCCTGGCAAGTAGCGTGGGAGAGAAATGGAACGGGGCCTACAAATGCAGACTGCACATGTGTAGAAAGGCTAATAGTATAATTTTAAACAAATAAATCCTATTTCTTGATGCATCCTGATTATAGTTTGAGACATTCAGATGATACTGGCCTGACATTGCTGATATCAAAACTGGAGCAGTTGAGAATGATATATAATTTTCATAATTCACATGTGAAGGGAGACTGGAAAAAGACAGGCAGGTGGAGCTTGTTAAAGTGAAATGAGAGGTGTAAAGTGACTTTGGTCATTTGTTAATGAAAAAAAACCAAAAGCAAAAAATGAGGAGATAAGTCCAAACAATTTTGCTTTAAAATTATTCATTTCAGAAATAATAAACTTAGATATAGATACCACCTTCAGTAAAATTATTGTTGCCAGTCTAGGGTTGATTTATGTGATCCTACTATGTTTTCCTGTTCTTCAGCCTGATCAGTTGAAAATCCTTATCTTTTATTTTAAAAAAGGCTTTTTCCTGCTTCTTTCAAGCTAAAGTAACTGGGGTTTATTTCAGCCTCATTCAGTGGTTTCCTCATCCGCTGGTCCCTATGCCATATATGAAGTGACAAGACTTCTTGTTACTTGTGATCTGGGAACCCACCTTGGCTTCTTGATGGTGGTGTCTAGTGCTGGCAGTCACCTGCTCAGTGATAGGGCCTGAGAGAGGCCCCTTTTTGAATGTGTGTGTGCGTGCATGCTTTGAATAGCTAAGAACTTAGAGCTGCACCCATTTCTTTCAGTGGTGGTGAATTCTGGCCTGACAAAGGCTACTTCTCTCCTCATGCCTTCTGTGCTTAGAATTATAGGTGGAGTTAAAAACTGCAGTGGGGATTTAGAAAATTAGGGCAGCTTACTTGGCCCCAGACACCTCCTGCCCTGAGAGCAGATCTCCAGTGTGGCAACTTCAGAGTTTTTGTTTTCTGTTTGGCTGGAGGTGAAATTGTTTTGGGGCTTACCAAGGGTATAGCCACTTAAGTTTTTTCTAGCTTGTGGTAGTGTCTCAGACTTCTAAATGATTTCTGTATGTGCTGAAAACGAATAGCTCATTCATAGTCCCTTAGTGCCAATCAGGTAGGAATCTTCAGTGACTTACTCTATGTCTAGGGCTGCAGAGTTTAGTGGTTTGCTTGTTGCACTATTGAAGTTATAAGCTATATGCATTTTCAGGTAACTTCTGCACCCCATATCTGGGCCTCTGCCTCTCAGAAGTGGCTAGTGCAGAAAGCACATGAACCAGTTCAAATTCATCACAAACACAGGGAAAATGCTCTGAAGTTTTTAATCCTTTTCTTGGCTCACTTAAGTATAACAAGCAGTAGAGTGGGAAATATTTTGATCCTATATTGGATTCCAGGTTCTGCTTTAGTCTGACCTTGAACAGGATCTTATAGTTCACTAGCATCTTTGGTTGTCTTAAAAGTAATGAAAATTATTGCATACTATATCCCATATATCCCTTCTTACATAAGAAAGGTCATAACGAATGTGCCAGCAATGAATTTATATTGGAAGTCATCTAACATTTCCCTTCCACACTCCTGTCAGAATCGACTACAGTCTCAAAGGGCATTGCTTCTGCAAGGCACTGACAGCCTGAACCGGGCCACCCAGAGTATTGAGCGCTCTCATCGGATTGCCACAGAGACTGACCAGATTGGCTCGGAAATCATAGAAGAGCTGGGGGAGCAACGTGACCAGCTGGAGCGTACCAAGAGTAGAGTAAGTCAGGGCGGACAGGGAAGGAGCAGGAGTGGGGAAAGTAGGTGTGCCCATTCCACTCCAATGCCTTGCTACTGACAAAAGCTACAGCAGTTCTGAATTCAGGGTGTGACCTTTCAGGTTCTTATGCTTTTCTCAATTTTTATTAGTTTGCTGGGCTGAGAGATCTCTCTTGGAAGTTATTTTAGCCCCAAGATTTAGAGGTCATTGAAGGGAAAAAAAAAAAACTGAAGAAACTCAATTCCTGCTTTTATTTAATATTTTCAAATAAATTTTAAATAAATTTAAGATTGTAGCCACTCTGTCCTTTTATTAATTACTGTACTACGAATCTTTTTTTTTTTTCCTGAGGAAGAGTCGCCCTGAGCTAACATCTGTGCCAGTCTTCCTCTGTTTTGTATATGGGTCACTGCCACAACATGGCTGCTGACGAGTGGTGTAGGTCCTTGCCCAGGAACCAAACCCAGGCAGCCGAAGTGGAGTGCACCGAGCTTAACCACTAGGTCACGGGGGCGGCCCCCCCAGTCATATTTTTATTTCTCATACATCTAGTGAAATATTCTGCTAATTTTATGAAAACATCATCTACTTAAAAGGTTCTAGGTTTCCTGTCATTTAGAGCCAAGGCTGTTTTCCACATGTCATAAAATAGCAGCAATTTATAGAGGTTCAGTCCTGGACTATAACTCTTTACTGTTACCTAAGATAAGCTGGATCATTGTGGGAACAAAGCGGAAATACCTAAGCCAAATGATGACTATATTGGGGCCTCTAACCTGCTATCACTCTAAGAGGCTCTGAAAAACAACTCATTTCTTCCCTTCCATTCATCTGCATAGGAATTTAAAAAACAGTACAACTTGCCAATAGAATGTTGTATTCTTAATAGCATGAGGCAAATCCCACTGAAAAACAGATACTGTGGGCAAGACTCGGATGGGAAAAGATTAGCTCATTGTGGGGATTTGACATGATTTTCTCATATATCTTTTTTGTGTGTGAGGAAGATCGGCCCTGAGCTAACATCTGCCAATCCTCCTCTTTTTACTGAGGAAGACTGGCTGTGGGCTAATATCCATGCCCATCTTCCTCCACTTTATATGGGACACCACCACAGCACGGTTTGACAAGCAGTGTGTCTGTGCGTGCCCAGGATTCGAACCGGGGAACCCTGGGCCACCGCAGTGGAATGTGCGCGCTTAACCGCTTGCGCCACCGGGCCGGCCCCTCATATATCTTAATAGCTGCAATTCTCCATTCTTAAATCAGTGATGCCCTTCTCTCCTCAGTGAAAATTCACAATAAAGTACTGAATTCAAGGTAAGCTATAGAGAAAGCAACTTATTTAGAGATTGTGTAGTTTGACTTTTGAACATACCAGGTGGATTGGTTGAATTCAAAGGCCAAGGAATGAGTTGAGAGATCAACTTACCAAGGCCACTGGGCGGTGGGAACAGATGGCAGTGCTGAAATATCCTCCAGCTATCTAGATTAGTAACAGGCAATCAAAAGTTTTTTTTTTTTTTTTTTTAACAAAGATTAATTCCTTTCACGGTTCAATTTAAGTGTCTCTTAAAGAGATAAAGAAAAAAGAAAATAACCAGATCCCAAAGTGGTAATCCACCAGCCTATAAAAACAAACACTAATGCAAGAGGCTCTTCTGGAGTTTGGCTGATGAAATTCAAAGCCTAAGTTGCTTACAGTTGCTTCACAGTTATTGGTGAGGTATGCTTGAAGCCTTTGTTTTGAGTAGCCAAAGTGAAGGATTAGCTTGGTCTCAGAAGTCCCCCACAGCGAACTTGGATATAATAATTCCTAAGCCTACTTGATGAGTACTAAAGTGTCTTGTCCTTTCCAGTTTCTTCTACTTATACTCAGAGGCCATCATTTAAATTGGTTTGATTTCTTGGAGTTTTTCAACATATACCCCTTAATGCCCACTGTCATTTTAGGAATGTTCAAATTCTACAGTGTGTCCTTTTGAAAGAAGGGGAAATAACTGCTCTTTTCTCTTCTCAGCTGGTAAACACAAGTGAGAACTTGAGCAAAAGTCGAAAGATTCTCCGTTCAATGTCCAGAAAGTAAGTTTTAAAGAGTCTCAAAATTAATTTCTTTTAATGTCTTTCAACCAAGAATGTCAAAGCTTTAAACAGTGACTTGTGAAGGTCCTAATAAAGCAGAAGAAATAAAGAACATTTTCTTGTATAGTTAAATATCCCAAGACAAAATCCTTTGTTGAAAGTATATACTGCTCTGACTTGGAGCAGTGGAAAGTTTGGCCATGGGAAGGACTTTTAATTCCAGCTTACATTCCTTAGAGAAGACTGCACATGGGAAAAATAAAGCTTCATATTTCTTGAAATATATTTGTTAAAAACTTGATTAGAAAACTTTTCATTGCTACTCCTTAGTACTTGGTTTTGGCTCTGCTTGCTCTTCATGGGAGTCACCCCTATATCTGGGAGTTCTGTCTTGTTAGCACAAAGTTGAGTTTTAAAAAAAACTCTTGACATAAGTGCTGACAGCAACAAAACCAGGGGCAGAAGGGAAGTATTGCCACTGAGGCTGAATTTGAGGTAAGTGGGTAGTGTGCATGACACAAAACTATAACGAGCCATGCAACTAGGGGCGCACTCTCCTGCTAAACATTAGTAAATTCCTTGTGGAATAGGGGAAACCTTCAATTTAGAGTGAACATGAAAACCAGAGATTAGATTCTGTGTGTTAACAAGAGTATATTTTTTAAAGCTGCTATACTACCTTTATCAAGATACCCATTTGGGTTGATGGACGAAGAGAGAGTAAGAAGGTCAAGAAGTTTCTAAGAGATTGAAAGGCACTACCTAGCTCTTAGTTACTTATCCAAAGGAAGGACCCATCCTTGAGCTGGACTTCAACACTGGCGAGTTTGCCGCAAACCCTTCTCCTAACATATGCTCACAGCTGTGGCATGTCAGTGATGCAGCTTTATGTGGTTAGATAGTAATACTGTATTTCTCCTATTTTGAAATATGATTTGACCTCGTTTCAGAAATGGTATACTTTATCATATGTATTATTTTTCTAACTAGCCCCTCCTAGGAAAGCTATTTTTAAAGTGAAGAAGTAACTACTATTTGAAGACAGACATTTTAGAATCGAGAAATCATTTTTATGTTTTGGTATCTATTGTCCCAGTTTTTAAGATTTCTGTGAGGCAGATAGTGTTATCCCTAAGTTACAGCTAAACAAGCTTTTGAGTTGTCACTTACCAGCTAAAAAACCTTGTAAATACTTTGCTGAGTGGCTGTGTGATCAAACAGAAATTCAGTCTGCCTCATAGTATTGAGCCTTGGCCCCAGGTCAAACCCCTAAGTATTAAGAATGGCAAGAACTAAGGTTATCCAGACTTCTGACTACTCCCCACTTTGCTTCTCTTTATAGAGTGACAACCAACAAGCTGCTGCTTTCCATTGTCATCTTACTGGAGCTAGCCATCCTGGGAGGGCTGGTTTATTACAAATTCTTTCGCAAGCATTGAACTTCCTACAGGGAAGGGGTTGTGGACCAGAACTTCGACCCTGTGAATGAATGGCGTTAAACAAACATGTGGAATAAGCATATTGCTGCTGTGAGCTAATGCTTCAAGGATGCACTGTGTAACCAGACTGTGGGAGGAGGGAGGGAAGACTGAAAACCACTTAAATGTGAAGGAACAGCAACAAGACCAGTATGCTATACCAAGGTAATAAATGCTGTTTATGACTTTAAATTTACATAGTACATCAACATATTAATACCCCGTGAACTACAAAAAACCAAATACATTTACAATAGTGTTATTGGTCACCAAAGTGGAGAGGGGAAGGAAACTTTACAATTGTGAGAATGCACAGATGTTCTCATTAAGACAATATTGACCCAGACAACCTTTAGTATCTGTGCAGTCAAATGCCTCACAACTCCGGAATGCTCATTATGACAAACGTGTCAGCACGCAGTATTTCCTAAATTTTCATACGTTCTTCACTTTCTGATTCATCTGGTGAGTAGGAAGCTGGTCATACACAATGTGCCCTCCCTCCCTTGTCTGACCAAAACTTGAAGCAATTACATCCACTGCCAGGCCTGCTGTAGCCTTGGCTTCTTCCTCTGAAGCAGCCAACTGAGGATTGACTTCAACAAGATCCAGTGCTGACAGCAACCCTGAAAGAACAAAGTATGACAAATCCTCGGAAAATTCCTTAGCTGCTACTTTTAGTGAGGGTCATCCCGTCTAGACAGAACAAGCCAAGGTAAAAACAGGTCATTTTGTACTATAAAATTATCCACTGTCAGGAAGCCCCTTATACCTCATCATCTTGGGCATGAATTTAAGTTAAAACAGTGGTATACTAAAGTAGGATTGAAAGAAACCTTTAAGGTAATAAAATCAGTCATCTCTGTTGAACGAACAGGCATAGCTGTCAGGCCTTCTGGATAGGATAAGGAAACAGTGTGGGGCGGGGCAGGGGGTGGGGTAGTGGGCAAGGAGTTTCCAACCTACTTGTTGGGAAAATATGTGCCATTTCCAGTATTATTAGGAACCTTCCAGATGCCTGCCTGTAGTTGTCTGAAGAGATCTCCCACTTCTCACTAGCCAGAACTGTGTTCCCACTTTTGAACTGACACTACATCTCTATATCTTAAGGTACCAAGTACTCTCAAGTATAGTTATTACTGCATATCTTACTCTTCACCCCTGCAGTTCTGAGCTCTGAGGGCAGGTTCCACGTCTGACACAGTTTTTAGGTCTCCCATCAAACTGACCTAGTATTGTGCACTTGGTCAAGGGAAGACTCAGCCATACTTGGTTTAATTTGGACTCCAGTTACCTTCTCTGAGGGCTTGAGAACTTGTACCAAAGGGTTTCAGAAGGGAAGATTAGGCCAGAAGAACCTATCCAAACCTGCCCTCTACCCATTCCCCTGGCTCCTAAAGACACATACACATGCCCTAATTCTCTGAGGTATTTAACTTTTTAGTTGGTTATTCTGGGTGAAGTTAATCCCTCTCTTTACGAATCATCTGAACTAGTATTCAAGAATACAAGTATCTGAGAATATTTAGGGTGGCCATAAAGCCTGGAAAAATGGGTAAATACACCTAATGGTTTACTGATATAGTACGTGATATGCTCAATGCCATTACATCAGTTCAGTGTGTTGTCCCTTATTAGCAATGCATAGTTCAGTACACTGTGTAAAACTGCAACGAGCAGGCACATTACTGTAGCATTTCCACCAATTCCTGTGCGTGCATCTGTGTCTCTGGTGATTTGTGTGTTTGACTTCCACTGACTAAACCTGGGCTTTTAGTATAGTCCAGAAGTAATCGAGTGAGTTTGAGCTATTAAAAATGTATATTACCCATGTTTCCAGACTACTGCCACCCTGTAAATTCATTTAAGCAAACTGCTTTATGTATCTAGTTGACAGTGTCATGACAGTTTTTTGGAACAGAATAATATTACAGCAGGGGAGGGGGGACAAGGTATGACCACTGCCCCATCTATGTACTGGAGGTTACCAATCCCTGCTCTTAAGTGGTATCATTTGGAACCAAAATGGAGGACTGAACTCCAGGTTCACTGGCCACTAACTCAAGGACAGCTGACAACATCCAAGATTGTGGGTGTGAGACTGAGACTATCTTGCCACTGTCAGATCTGGTAGACAAGTATTTTTCCCTTTCTGTAGTGCCTAATGTTCTAGGAGGCTCCAGACCAAGGGAGACCATTTCTCAATTTCCTTATCTATCCCAAATAGTCAAGGGTGTTCTATAGCCCTGGACCTTTCAGTCTGGAGTCTCTATGCTATTTAGACCCCAATTTCATGAGATGGTATTGAAGTATCATGTGGTAGTTGTTTAAATTTTGCAATGAGAAGTCATTTAAAGTAGCCTTAAAACCAGAAGCTTTCTGACAGAAATGGAAACTGGAAAAAAGTATGAGTTTTGGGACAGTAACCCCTTGTAGCCACTCTTAATAATGTAGCATTCAGTTTACTAGTTTGTCTGTCAGCAATTCATCTTCAAGTATCCCCATTATTAAAATACCAGTCAAACAAGCTCGAGTATGACTTAGCCTCTATGAAAGGACCCAAGATACTATCCAACTTTAAAATACCTTCAAGAGAAGCTTTAACTCCACATTCCCAACTCCCAATAAACCAACCTCTTAATGTCAGGGCAAAAATTATAGCTACTTGGCCTTGCTTTTTAATCTTAATCTGCCTTCAGACAATTCAGATACAAAGATACAAAAAACTATATCAGTTTGGCAGTTTAATCTTGTATTTAATAAGTATTTTAAGTAGACAATTTTTTATTCAATATTACCTTAGCATATTTTGGTATGAGCCAGGTCCAAACATGCCTCTGACTATCCCTTATTAGCCTTACCACATGACTTTTAGCTATAAAAGTTTAAGCAAAAACAATGTCTACAATGATATGGAATAACAGAAAAGAGCCCCCGGCAGGCCAGAGACTTCAGCATATTTACTTATATAGTTAACAAGTTGATCACTACTTACCTGTATTGTGTATTTCCTCAGTAATATACATGCCTTCTCGATAAGTCAGTCCCCCTACAACAGGGGTTCCTGTGGCTGGGGCCAGTGTAGGGTCAAATGCATCGATATCAAAACTCAGATGGATTGGCCTTTGTCTTCTTGAAAGGAGGAGAAGAGAAGAGTCAGTTGGTTATGCTTGGACATTCATCCTTCTTACAGTTGCAACTCCTGATTTTGTTGCTGTTAGTCCTGGTACTTTGTTATACAGCAGGTTTCCTATTCTGGAAGTTAGTATTAGCATATTAGCTTCCTACACACTACTTCATAATTTTTGCCATTTGTTCTGTATGCCTCAGACAGACTAACTCCAATTTATATTTATGACTTACCCTTGGCATTAGAGCCTCTTACATTAACAACTGTCAATAGAGGGAATTCTTCACTTCCATGTGACATTGGGCTCTGAAAGACTCCAATTTAAGTTGGATTGATCTAGATTACAGTTGCTCTTATTCTCTCAGAGTATGACAGCAGCTGAACCTAACTCTTGATTTTATGTCTACAATCTTATCTCCCAGTTCTAACATCATTTTAGCCCAGGTGTCCAATGGCTGAAACTAACATACAACAAATACCTATATACTAAATAACTAAATTTCTTAACAGCTTAAGAAATGGCATACTACTAGGTAGCAATTAATTACATTAATCACCCAGAAGTAAAGATTCAGCACTGGGAAAGTGCTCTTAAAACTAGCATTTGATTAGCATTCATCTGCCATCTTTCTACATAACCAAGATTTGCTTAATACAAAACTCCTTTCACATGAAGCATTAGTGAGGCTGGGAAGAATGGGACATTTGGAACAATGAATGCTTCTCATCTCAAAAGAAATTCATGAGAGAGAAGATCTGGGCAGTCACTTCAAGGAAACCCTCCTCCCAATGCCAGAGGAAGAATATGACCTATGTTTCATATTCTCCCTTTCTGAACTATTTGAATTTTTTATAATGTACATGTTTTGATTTTATTTTAAAAGAATAGCCTGTCTTTTGAGGATAGTAGCTTAAGTGTGCTGCCCACTGGGAGTCTCCCCTATTCCCACTGGGACCTGGAAGTAGACATCCATTGTAGTTACTTACTTGCCAATCAGCAGATCAAATGTCTGTTCCATGACCTTCTGGATACCAAGTCGATCTATGTCTCTCATGGAAAAATACTGGATATCATAATTCTTTAAAATAAAACTGTGTTGAGATATAAAGGAAGGAGTCCTTAGTTTAAAGAGCATTTTTAATCAAATGCATGTGTGTGTGGGGGTTATCTTTATAGTGACCTACAACACGTTAAGGCAAGGAATGACCTATCAAATGGAACATAAGTGGCCAGGACAGGCCCAAAGCTTAACTTTAATGTATCAACTTACTGTTCAGGAGGGTCCACATCTCTTAGACCAATATATACAATACTTGAGGAAGAGACACAAGGTTTGATCCAGGAAAATCCTGGGAGTTGTGGTACCTATGAAGAGAAGAATGAACAGAATTCATCAAGGCTTCCTGGTCTCACCAAGGAAGCCTTGGTGCTTCCCGGTGTATACAGTCTGCTTTCTTCTCCCACAGGATATGCTTAAAGCAACACAAGACACACCCGATCTGGAAAAGAGAACTGATACAAGTGGAAATGATTCACAAGGGCAACTGCAGAACACAGTACAGCTTTCTCAAGAAGAATAAAAAAATCTCTTTTCCTAAGGTGTGCTCTGTTTCTCATTAACTTAACTAAATAGCGGTAATACTGATTAGCCCTTTTCCACCTCTTTGCATATTACTGAATTGTTTACAGATTGATTTTTGAAACATAACCCAGTTGCCATCTCAAGTTGCCGACAGCCAAAACATGAATTCTGCCTAATGAATAACCTTTGTACTGTCCTGGTTTAACTTGGTCCCTCACAGAGGGGAGGGATATACAGATTCCAGTCTGTGCCCAACATGGACTCCATGTCTCCTGAACAGTCTAAGAAAATATTACCTAGAGGTAAGCCTGGTTTTACTTGTCTTCTAGACCAATAGGCCTAAGAGTGAGGCCTGGGAGCCTCTAACCAAGAAGTCCTCAGGGTGTGGGTGGATCAACCACTAGAGTCAGTACCCACTACCACCTTCCTTTCTTACAAGATTATGACCCCACCCCCATCCCCAAGAGCAGGGACCACGTCCTAGTTACCTTTATACACCTAGCATCTAACAGACTGCCTGGCCCATAATAATGTTTGATGAACAAATGAAGGAGAGGTAAGCATTTCTGTCACCACCGTCAACCCATCCTCCACAGAAATCTTACTGAACTAGAGACCTTCAAAGCCCCAGGATAACCCCTGCAAGTCATTCAACTTTCTTTTCATTTCTTCCCACTGACCTTGTCCTGTAGTTCTCTGAGGAGAAATGAAACTGGCTGCCCATGGAGATTTCCAGATGAAGTGGTGAGGGGTGTATTGATGTCAGCGTGGGCATCAACCCAGATCACACAAAGGTCTGGGCAGTGCCGGGCGTGGCCACTAATGGTACCAATTGCCAGGCTACAAAGAACAAATAACAATAATCTTCAAGGCCCTCTGCTTGCAAACATCACCAGTAAACATCCTCAGCCAACGCACAGCTCACTCTTGGTCCTCAGGGCAAAGTCAGGGCCCCAGACCGAGGCTGGATTTGGATGAGACAGAGTCCCTGGGGCTGTAGTTCCCAAAGATTAACCTTGAGTGAGTTACGGAGAAATGGAAGGCTCTAAAGATTGAAAGCTGACTACCTGTTATCCCTGTAGTGTGACAGATGTCATTGCTGCCCCCAAATCCCCATAATTTGATCCATTCGACCAGGCACAGAAAAGGACCTCAAATACTTGTTCAGTGAATGAAATCCAGTTAAATGATGTGGTCTATATGTAACAACTCACAAATATTGAGGGAAATCTTAAGGGAGACCAGGGAAATCTAATTATTACTTTCAAAGAATCAGTTATATTAATTTTTTAAGAATAAAAATTAGCATTATAGCTTTTTAGAAAGATTACGTGATACCTCCTAAAACGAAAAGTCGAAAGTTGTTAAAGACATTAAAGTAATAGGGCAACCCAAAGAAAGACCTCATTTAGATCCTCGAATAAAAAGAAGTTTATTTGCGTGTTACCTTATATACTTCAGCATGGCATTCAAATATTCTTAAGTGTTTCTGTTTTTTGCCTTTCCTTGTCCTTGGTCTCTGCTAACATTAGCCAACTATCCTGTCTCAACTGTAGGAATATAGCTGATGAAATCATGCTTGAAAAGCTGCCCAGCTTCCCAGTAACCAAAGAATTTATGTAGATGGGAAATGTAGCCCAAGCACCTTAGGAACTAACTACAGCCATCTTGGTCAGTATAGCATGAGACAGCATTTTAAGCTCTATGCCCCACATAGGGCCTTTTTGAGAGAGAGCATGGTCTAGTGCTAAAAGCAGTGGATTAAGTGAAAATACTGAGGTTTTTTTTCAGGAAGAGCTGTGTGATCTAGGACAAGTCATCTGATTTCTCTAGACTTCAGTTTCCTTTTCTATAAGATAAAGATAATAATCTTGGCCTGTTTAAGCCAGAGTTGATTTGATGATTAAGGCACTAGTGCATGTTGTTCTATGTAAAAGGAGCAGAGTGACCTAAAAAGGCCTCTTCCTTTAAAATGTTCAGCAGCTGTTCAGGTTATACTCTCATCCTTCCTTTCTAGAATCTTCCAGATAGCCTAGGATTTAGCACTGAACAAGAAATAGCAGTGACAGGGCTGCAATATAGATAGCCACAGACAAAAGAAAAACCAAGGACTATGATAATTACCTTGATAAGCGGTCCCCAAGTAGTGAGACAACCAGAAGAAAGACAATATAAAGGAACTTGGAGAGAGAGCATTGAGCTAAAAGGAAGGAGGACCTACCCTCTGGTTGATTTAATTGAATCTCAGTAGAGAACCAGGGACTACTTTCTTATTCTACATAAAATTTTATTCCTAATGAGGAATCTACCTGCCTTTCAGTTCTAACAGATTTAACTTCTGTTAAGTGATCTGAAAAGCTCTGAGCACCTCAGGGAAAGTTGCCAGATTGGATCGCAAAATAGAAATTAATTGCCTATACAGGTCTCCTTGGATTTGAATCCCAGCTCTGCTACTTTCTGGCTCTAAACCTTAGGTAAGTCATCTAACCTCTGTCCCTCAGTATTCCCAGCAGTAAATTAGATAAAACTGTATCTGCCTCATGGCATTATTATGAGGAATAACTGAGAATATGTAAGAAGTGCTCAATACTCCTAGTACTTAAATGCTGTTTTTCTACCAAAAACTTTCATTACTTAGCTCAAATCACACTCCCCTATGAAATCTGACTACTCTACCCTAGACTGATTGCTTCCTTCTGTGAAATTCTGTAGAATTCAATGTTTTTCTCATTCCATGTGTATTTATTTCATCTAGTCCTAATAGATTACAAGTGTCCCACAATCCCTAACACTGCTTGAGAACACATTAGACAGTGCTCAATAAAGTACATGCTGATTCACTGGGAGAGGAAAGATCTATTGCATTAGTCACCTAGGGTCAATACAGTGAAGGCAGAGGATGTATTCACATGCCAAGTGGGGAGTCTCGAACAAACCTATTAGCAGAAATGCTATTAAAAAAAAAAAAAAGCCCAAATTCAGCCTATTGATGGATCCTTCCAATTCTCCCAAATAGCCAAATGAAAGTCATAAGACAGTTTCTCAAGAAAGCTTTCCGAGAGATAAGCATGAAACACACTGTGTCTAAAAACTTTGATTCATCTTCCTCTGAACCTGTCCTCATACTATACAATGTGTCCTTCAAAGAAAACCACAGGCACCTCCAGTGGCTTATGATCTTATACATTAAAATGCTATTACGCACATCATACCCGAAAAATTCTGAAGGGTATTTTTCTAAGTGAGGAAACTGAGACTACGAAGCTAACTGATTAGCCCAAAGCACCATGCAATCCAGCCCCTCCATCACCCCTAGGCTCCCAGCTTACCTGTGGTCTCCTCCCACTGTGACGCAGCTGTAGCCACCTGACACGGCTCTACTAACCACCTCAGCCAGTTCCCGGTTGGCAAGGCCCACTGTGCGAGGATTCACTATCAGGTTGTTGTAGAGATCGTCTTTGGGGACTGGAGTAAAACTCAAATCTCCAAAGTCTTTGAGGTGGCAACCTGGAAACAAACAGGGGAGGACAAGATTAGTTGTATGTTATTCCAACTCTTACTGGTCTGGGTCGCAAGTAACTTGTGACAAAGTTCACACATCATACTCATGTTGTCACAGTAAAATTCAAAATGTCACATGACTATGGCAAGATTATCTCAGTCATCCCAGCAATCCTGTGAAGTAGATCCCATTAGGAACACCATTTTGCAGATAAAGAAGCTAGGTTTTGGAAAGCAAAGACCAGAAATGTTAATTGACAATCACAAAATTGGTAGCAATTAGACCTCAGATATCCCAGAGTTAGAGTGGTTCCAAGAGGAACCAACAGGATTTAAAATTAAATACTATTAATTTAGGACAAAAATATGTACGTAGCAATTTTCATGTTATAAACTTTTTTTCTAATAAAACGCCAATTTGAGGACCTAAAGCATCCTAAGAGTAAGAGAAATAACTAACATTTATTAATTACTTACAAGGTCCCAGGGACTGTTCTAACTCCTCAACATAATTTCTTATTAAAGACTCAACAATCCTATTAGGCAACTAAAACATGGCATTCTATAGAAGAGGAAGCGGAAGCAAGGTCCCAAGGTCACACAGCTAAGCGCCAGAATCAGGATTCAAGTCCAGGCCATCTGCTCTCAAAGTGGATGTTCTTGACTATGCAGTCTGTCTCCCAAAGAATCTCTCGATTCTGACACTTGAAGAACTTGTGAGTCCTTTCCAAAGAACTGACAAAACGGCGAAAGCGGAGCACAAGCAGCCGCGGCCCTGCCTCAGCTTCACCCGCCCGCGCGCACCTTCAACGCGCTGACGCAGTTGACGCAGCTGCACAGTGTCCCCAGCGCCTGCGCAGAGCCAAGCAGGAGGCGCCGCCCACGGAGAAGCCAGAGGCGGTCAATGCACACCTGCTAGACAGGATCTTACTGCCGGAGACCGTGGGCATCTACAACCACAAGACCTTCACCCGGTGGAAATCAAGCTCGAGGTGATCAGCCACTACCTGACGAGTTCTCCACCACCTACGAGCCCATGAAGCATGGCCAGCCCGGCTCGCGGCCAGCCACTCCTCCCACTTCGTCCTCCTCAAGTAGCCCGTTCGACCAATAAAGGTACAAACTTGTCTTAAAAGAATAGTTTAAGAAAGGAACTAGTGACATATTCTGACAGTAAGCTATAATATTTTCTCACCTAGGTTTCACATATTGCAGGGAATTATGACACCAGTCACCACTGGGTGATTTTTATCTTTAGCATGAGTACCAGTCTTTCAATCTTAACCACTTATATCAATAAATTGGTTGGATGCTACATTTAGGGTGAGGACTAAATAATCCACCTCTATCAAGAAGGGATCTGGGGGGCCGGCCCCGTGGCTTAGTGGTTAAGTGCACGCGCTCTGCTGCTGGCGGCCCGGGTTTGGATCCCGGGCGCGCACCAACGCACCGCTTCTCCGGCCATGCTGAGGCCGCATCCCACATACAGCAACTAGAAGGATGTGCAACTATGACGTACAACTATCTACTGGGGCTTTGGGGGAAAATAAATAAATAAAAATAAAATTAAAAAAAAAAAAAAGAAGGGATCTGAACTATCAGAGAACAGAATATTACCATACATTGTATCCTTAAGGCCCTGCTTCTCAAACTGGAGTCCAAACTAGGGGGAGGGAGAAGTGGTTATAGGAGATACATAATATTTGCAGAGATTTGTGTTAAAGATGTGGATAAAGACCAGCATAGACCCATCCTGAATTTTAGTTGTACAGTTTTGAGCTTTACCTGTTGAACCCAAACTCAATCAAAAGCCAGACTTCTGAGAGAATCTAAAAATATAAGAAGCAATGGCCTGAAACATAAGCCCAACCTAGGGATCACCACACCAAAAGGGATATTGGAAGCAGAGCAGAAAACCTTATCCCATTCTCAATTAAAGGTAAGATCCATCTGCAGCTAGAATTTTGTATGTATCTTTTGGTCATTGCATTTTAATAATTTTATTTATTTATTTTTTCCCC